AAGTAAAAAAAAAAAAAGTAGAAGAGATTCTTTTATTTACTGAGGGCCTACAGGGGAATGTAGAGATAATTAGCTACAGTCCCTGCTTTCAAGGAGCTCATCGCTCAGTTGTGGTGGAAGAGATGAGGATAAAGCACTTCATAATCCCAGAACTTCTGCTTCTGACAATGACCAAGTGGTACGGGATTTGCTCTCCCACAGTAAACAATAAATGTAGGTGAAATACATCTTACATCTGCCCAGATTTCTGCTTGGGGGGACTTTCTGGATTGCATTGCAAGGAAGTGGAGTCTAGGAAGTGTTTGGTGATCTCACGGAGCTCAAGAGCACAACTTCAAGTTGAAGGCTGCTGAGGGTCCTGTAATTTGTGGGGAAGGCTGTTAGAGTGGAAGGAACTGACCAGAGAGGTGACCCCAGAAGTCTGTATGGGGGCTCCCCAGGGTCTTTGGATGAGGGACAAGCTGCACAGGCACATGGTGAGACTCTACAAGCCTTAGCAGAGAGCAGCTGGGAGCCAAACAGAAAACACTAGAAGTTGCACGTGGCTTAGAGATGTTGGAGTTTCAGTTCAGTCGAAGTGCAGAGACTTCACTGAACAAGTTGGCTACTTAGATGATCCAGGAAGTTCACAACCTTAGGAGCAAGGACCATGTTCTAGGGGTGGCTGGGAGGCTCAGTCGGTTAAGTGTCTGCCTTGGGTACAGGTCATGATCCCCGGGTCCTGGGATCGAGCCCCGTGTTGGGCTCCCTGCTCAGTGGGGAGCCTGTTTCTCCCTCTCCCTCTCCCCTCCCCTCTCCCCCTCCTTCTCAAATAAATAAATAAAAATCTTTTTTTTTTTTTTTAAAGGACCATGTTCTACATACTAATCCCGAAAAGGAATAAAACCAAGATGGGCTAGATCAAGATCATCTGCCAGTAATTTAAGTGCCTAATAGAACAACACTCAACACTCTCCGAGGGAAGACAACATAAACTCTAAAATAAATAGTCTACAATGTGTAATATGCAGTCTAATATTACTATACATGTGAAGAAGGAGGAAATTGGGACCCAGGATTTTAAAAAAAGCAATCAAGATAAACAGTCCCTGAGATAGGTCAGAACGAGCAGACAGGCATTTTAAAACCATGGTTGTAAATATGCTTGAAGGACCTAAAGGAAAATTTTCACACAGTAATTGAAGATATGGGGAATCTCAGCAGAGAAACTGAAACTATAAAAGAGAAGTGAAGGGAAATTCTAGAACTTAAAAAAATACAACATCTGAAAAATTCCCTGGATAGGCTTAGCAGCATAGCAGGGGCTGCAAAATAAAGAATTGTAGATTATTCATTTGAGACTTAAAGAGAGATCAATAGACTAATCTGAAAAACAAAAACAAAAAAAAGGATTAAAAAATGGGGCACCTGGGTGGCTCAGTCGGTTAAGAGTCTGAGTTGTGCTCAGGTCATGATCTTGGGCTCCTGGGATTGAGCCCTGCGACAGGCTCCGAGATCGGCAGGGAGTCTGCTTCGCCCTCTCCCTCTGCCCCTCCCCCGACTCGTGCGCGCGCGCGCGCTCTCTCTCTCAAATAAATAAAATCTTTAAAAAAATAGTACCTCAGTAGTCTGTGGGATAATATCTAAGTACTTATAATAGCTTATGTAATATACTATATAGATGATATATACTTATATAATACTTATAACTTATATAATTATTATAAGTATTTAGATAATATCTAAAATATGTGTAATTGGAGTTTCAGAAGGTAAGGAGAGAGAGAATGGGCAGAAAAAATATTGGAAGGAATAATGACTTGAAATTTCCTATACTTGGTGAAAAATAGGTCACTTCTATATTCAAGACACTCACCAACCCCAAGCAGGGTAAATACCAAGAGAACAACGCCTCTTTACCTTACAGTCAAGTTGGTAAAAAAACAAACAAACAAAGATAAAGAGAAAACTCAAAAGCAGGTAGAGACAAACCTGAGACAGTCTGAGCAACAGAAAAATGGTAGCATTACATTATAACTCGTGGAATAAAGTAAGTATCTATGGGGCGCCTGGGTGGCTCAGTTGGTTAAGCGACTGCCTTCGGCTCAGGTCATGATCCGGGAGTCCTGGGATCGAGTCCCACATTGGGCTCCCTGCTCAGCAGGGAGTCTGCTTCTCCCTCTGACCCTCCCCCTCTCATGCTCTCTCTATTTCATTCTCTCTCTCAAATAAATAAATAAAATTAAAAAAAAAGTATCTATGAATTCATACTGATAGAAATAAATTATTGAAATTTTAAAATGGGAGGGAAGGAGCAGTTTTTCCTCATTGTGGAACACCAATTAGTAGTGGCAGAAGAAAAAAAGGCAGGTAGAAATCACTCTTAACCATGTAACTGATCTCAGTCAAGAACCATTAATAGATTGTTAACATTAGTGAAAGTATGAAGAAAAACAGGATATTTGTATAGAATTGAAGTGTCTCTCATAAAATATTTATTAATTACAAAGAGAAAAATAGTAAGTGGATGGTGAAGAAGTCTGGCAGACACCACCTTAACCACGTGACCAAGGTTAACATTGTAAGTAATAAGACATATTGTCACCATGTACCACCCAGAAGAGCACCATTATTGTGGTTTTCAGTCTAGAATGCCTCAATATAATCATGAGAAAACCTCAGGCAAACCCAAACTGGGGGACATACTACAAAATAACTGGCCTAAAAATGGACACGAAAGTGTCAAGGTGAGGAGAGAAATAGACTGAGAAAGTGTCACAGATTGAAGGAGATTAAGGAGACATGATCACAACACAGTATGGGATCCTCTGATAAGCCACTAAATTCTACACCTGAAACCGATTTTACCATATATGCTAACTAACTAGAATTTAAATAAAAAATTGAAGTAAAAGCCAAACAAAAAAACCTAACTAGAATTTAAATAAAAACCTGAAATAAAAAATAATCACTTGCCAAAAAAAAAGGGTGGGGGGCAATACGGAATCCTTGATTAGATCCTGTACTGGTAAAAGGACACTAGCAGGAAGATTGACAAAATCCAAATATTGTATCTGGATTAGTTAATAGTATTGTATCGATGCTAATTTCCTGTGTCTGGTAATTATGACTTGGTAATATAAGATGTTAACATTAGGGGAAACTGCGTGAAAGACAAAAGAAAAGTCTTTAGTGTTTTGCAACTTCTCTATAAGTGTAAATGGTTTTAAAACAAACAAACAAACAAACAAACAAACAAACAACAAAACCAGAGGGAGAAGACAAGGAACAAGAATGTAAATAATGGCTGACTTCTCATCAGAAACAGTGGAGGCCAGAAAACAGTAGAACAACATCTTTAAAGTTCGAGAAGATCCATCAACCCCCGCCCCGCCATGGCTGTCAACATAGAAATCTATATCTTAGAACTATTATAGACGACGGGGAAACAAATGAAAGGTGAGCATATTTGTTGCTGGGGGACCTTCACTGCCAGGCTTGCTAATGAAGTTCTTCAGGCAGAAGGGGCTGGGAACGTGGATAGCGGGTTTGTTGAACCCGTCGGTGCCGGCAGAGCTGGGCTGAGGAGACACCTGGGGAACTAGGAGATTGGTTATAATTGTGCGAATTGAGCAAATATGTGAATATATAGGCAGAGATGTGACCATGCTGTGTGATGTGGATTTTGTGCCAGGGCAAGTACAAGACTGTGGACATGGCTTCTGACCCAGGCGCCCTTCACCGGCTGGGGAGTCCCAGAGCCCGGGTCAGGAAGCCTAGCTACCCTTTGTGGGCTGGCTCCTCCTCTGTTCCCTTGCAACCTGCAGCGGCACTTCTGCGAATGAATGGGTGCTGCTCCTTTGGAGCGACCGGTGTTTAGGAGGTCTGAGGAGGAAGGGCCCACCTCTGCAGAGGGCGGGGCTGGAGGAGGGGGCCGTCAGACAAGCTTCCATGGAAGAGATTACATCGGGCAGGTTTGGAAAGATAGGTGCAATTTTCCAGGTGGAAAATTTAGGAAGATCAATCAGACAGAAAGCCAGACAGGAGCATTTGGGAATGCGAAGTATCTTCCTGCGCGCTAGGGTGGGAGACGAGGCTGGAAAGCTGAGTCGGGGCCAGTTTTCAGGCATCTTGGGTGTCTCCAGAGAAAGCTCAGGGAAGCCCAGGAGCTGGAGAGACTTCCATGCTCTTTCTTTGATGGGTCAGGTCTTGTTTTTACGGTGAGTCGAGCTACCCATCGCGTCGGGGGTACCAACCCCAACCACTGGCGGTCTCCTGCTCCCAGCCCTAGCATTTTGCCTCTTTGAGCCGCCTGAGGTTTCTGGACTGGAGAAGACGCAGAGACCCAGAGGAAGGATTGGGGGACAGGCAGAGAGTGGGAAGGAGAGCTTTGAGGCAAATACGATAAAGCTGTGAAGCCTGTGAGTTTGCGTTTGGAGGCGGTCTATTGACCGTGTTCTGAAACGTTTATCAGCCACTGTGTGCAAGCAAGCATCCGCAGAGAGAGGCCCTTTATGGGCATCCCTGCTTACAACAAGCTTGAGATGTCTCAACAGGCTTTCCGGAAAACCAAACTAACCCAAAGAAAAACTCGATGAATAATAATAAAGGACTAAACCGGTGCTCGGCACCAGAGTAAGCATTCAAGTGGTTTGTCAAATAAACAAATCAAAGTGTGCCTGAAGCAAACGCAAGGTCAGAGGGAAGTGCCCTTTCGTTCAGGTGACAGAGAAAGCCACATGGGCGTCTTCAGGGGGTGCGACGGGGTCCGGAGAGGGGCCCCAGGCTCCCGGTTTTTCTAAGCATACCGCGTGTCCGGGCGCGCCCACGACCCCACTCCGGTCCCAGTCTCGCCGGGTCTGCGGGTCCAGGCGGACCCCGGCGGGCGGGCGCGAGGCGGGGGAAGAGCGGCCGCGGGTTCCCGCCGCCCCCTCCCCGGCGCAGGGTCCGGCGAAGCGCGCGGGGGGAGGGAGCGCGAGTCGACGGCCCGCCCCGTTGCGTCCCGCCCACCGCGTCCCCTCCCCCGCTCCCGCTGCGGGAAAAGTGGCCGCGGGCGCCGCCCCTCAGTGTGGGGCGGGCGCTGCGGCGGCGGCGGGCGCGATGCGGGCGCGGCCGCTCTGGGCCGCGGTGCTGGTGCTGGGGGCGCTGGCGGGCGGCGGCGGCGGAGGTGAGTGAGGCCCCGGCGCGGCGGGGACGCGGCTCCCCCCGGAGGCCGCGCCGCGCATCCTGCCGCAGCCCGAGCTGGCGGCCTTGGGGCCGGGCAGGCGGCGGGCCGGCCCCGCGCGTCTGCGCTCCGAGGGCGCGAGGCCAGGCTGGGGCCGCCGGAGCCGGCAGCCGGGGACCCCTCCGGCCCCGCGTGACAGGCGTGCGAGGCCGGCTCGGGGCGGGCGCTCCGGGACGTCGAAGCCCTTGGCCGAGTCAGGCGCCCGCCCGGGGCGGCCGGCGCATCTCCCGGGCGGCGCGCCTCGCAGGTGGTCTGGGGCTTGCGGAGACCGGCTGGCCGCGGTGGGCACGGCGAGCTGCGGCTTCCCGGGGCTGTTCCCGCGCGCTGCCGGAGGGATGTGGTTGTAGCTGCTCGGACGAGAGTGTGCGCGCGCGGGTGTGCCAGCTTCTCGACATGACCCTCTGTGTTACACTTTCTCCCAAGTTCTTTTCCTTAAGTCTTTTTCCTTGGTGGCTTCCCGCGGGAGCGGTTCGGAGCAGGGCGAGGGCTCTGTCTCCTACAGTGTCCGGGTGGCAGCCGTGCCTCTGCTGCCGGGACGACCCCGCGTCCGAGAAACCTCCAGAGTATGCGAGGAGCCACGAGAAGGGTCCCTGGGACTGGCTTGGATTCCTGGCTTTGTCTCTCCCTGCTGCTGCACGCCCTATGCCAAGACAGTCGGCATTCAGCCTCCTTGGTGCTGGGGAGCGGGTGGAGGGGCGGAGGAGGTTACAGCGCAGGGATGCTGCCCGTGGTCCTTCCGGAGCCCTGGTTACCTTCCCAGACAGAACTCTGGTTCCCCTGCTGGGGACGCACAAGTGTGCATATATGTACTTTTAATGAAAAGTGTAGTACTCATTGTAAGACAATTTAAATCCCGCAGAAGGCATTAAGAAAGTTAAGATTTACTAAGTCCTTATCAAAGATAGCTATTCAGAAATACTTTGATGATTGCCTTCAAGATCTTGTGTGTGTAAGAGATTATACAGGACAAGGCAACAGTATCTTTTAAAAACACTTTAATGAGGTATGACTGACATACAAATAACCCTATATATTCAGTGTATATGACTTGATGAGTTTGGAGATACATATACACCCATGAAACCATCACCACAATCTCTGAATGATGTCTTGGTGGAGGAGTTACAGATAATATATAGGGGGCTAAGTTGTTTTTGCTGAAGCTTCCCATGTGATAGATGCTCAAACAGGTCAGCTGATATCTTCAGCCTACAGTGAGCAGCCTGATGACCATGGTACCGAAATACAGATCTCCAGCCTTGTGCCCTAGGAGGTGTTAGAGATGCAGTTCAAATGCTGCCTGATGTTAGTGGGGGCAATGGAGCTGTCTCCTCCAGATGCCTGCTCCCCTGAACTTAAAACATTAGTTGCTTTTCTTTTCACCTCTACAGCTTTCTGAATTTTGAATGATTTCTGAGTCTAACCATTGTATTTTCCTATAGTCTTAGAAGAAAGTAAAATAACATAAGATAGAGCCTAGCATGGCACATGTTTCAATATTAGTGAAGATGAAAAGTGTACGTTATTTTGGTGTCTGTCCCTCCACCCCTCACTCCTAGTATTTTTTGTTGATCTGATACAGAGTTGTAATGATCCATATAGGACTCCACTGCATTGACATACTTTAGTTTGCCATATCCTTTGGGAGATCTATTCACAGATTCGTCGTTATGATTGGGATGATTCCAGCTGTATGACGAGTTGTACTGAGCTGGCCCCAGGCTCCTTCTGCGAAGCAGGTTGGAGTAGTGTTTCAGAGCATGGGTTCTAGAGTTAGATCTCCAGAGTAAGAAGCCCCCAGTAAGAACAGTTTATATTTGAATCCCCTCCCCCAGGATTGGTAGCTGGACTGCAGGTGTTGTCAGATTCCTGGGGAAGCAGGTGGTAGAAAGAGAATAGAAGAGAGGTGTTGGTACACACAGTGTTGAAGGGACACAGAGAGAGCTGGGTGGTGGCACAGAGAGGTTGTCCCAGAATAGGAGAGTCTGGGATGGGGAGAAGAGAGGCTGTTTGAGAGTAGAATTGAGTTTTGGAATTTACGTCCAAAGATGATCTTTTTAACTTCACCCAGGAGGTATTGGGTTTTGTGGCTTCCACCTACATAAGTCTGTATTCTAACCTGAGACCTAAGGGATAACAAGTTTTGTTTGCTGTCACCATCTAAGTTGATTAGTTCTGAGGTGAAGTGCTAATTTCTCCTCCTGAGTTTATATCCTAAAAACTCTCCAGATGAAGCCCTCTGCCTGGAGAGACATGGCAGGAAGGCTTGTTGGCTGGGGAAAGGGACAGTTATGGTTTTTTTTTTTTTAAGATTTTATTTATTTATTTGAGAGAGAGAGAGAGAGAAACAGCATGAGAGGGGAGAGGGTCAGAGGGAGAAGCAGGCTCCCTGCTGAGCCGGGAGCCCGATGTGGGACTCAATCCCAGGACTCCAGGATCATGACCTGAGCCGAAGGCAATCGCTTAACCAACTGAGCCACCCAGGTGCCCCAGGGACAGTTATGGTTTAAAGCCAGCCAGATGTGGGTTTAATTCTTGATTTTGTCTCTTATTGGCAGTGTGACCTTAGGCAAGTTACTTAATCTCTTGGGACCTCAGTTTCCTCATCTGTAAAGTGGAGAAAACAATACTTCAATGACTGTGCTAATTATAAAATAAGCATCCAATAAGTGGTATGTATTATTGCCATTATTATCCATGGTATCTACTGTGTATTGGAGACAAGCTATTACTGCTTCACACATGAGTGCAACCTGGGCTCGTGGAATGAGACCGATGGGGCCCCTTCTCCCACACCTAAGTGACATTCCCCCACTGGTGGTTTGGCATATCTCAGCCCCTCTCACCCAGCAAGAACCCACACAGAAGAGAGAGACCAGGGAGGAAGAGGCGCATACATGTGCTTTATCGACTAGAAAATCTTAAGTTCTGCCTCTGTTGAAAGAGGAAAGTAAAAGACATTCACAAGATTTCAGGTTGTGTGAGGAGAAGAACATGTCCATTTTGTTCAGCGCTCTAGGCCTGGTGCCTGAGACATTTGGCAGCCAAAATAAATCCTAGGGAACGCTATGAGAAGGCATCTAGAGGTGATGTGCCTCATTGGTAAGAAACCCAATATTTGAATATCTGCATTCATTCACAGAGGATCCTCAAGTGCTCCATCTGGGCATTCTGGAGAATTTTAGAATATAGCTGAGATCATGAATTCTTTGTGAATTTGGATCTCTGCACTGTGGTGCCTTAGACCTCTGTTTTCAGGGGATCCTCTGTGAATTCTCTGCCTTTTCCTCCCTCTCCTGGGAGGAGACACACAGGAGGGAAACATCCTCCTTTACCCACCTCAAAACTGCAAATGGTAGGGGTCTCCTGGGGACGGCATCAGATGGGGCAAGGAGGCAACAGTGAGGAGGGGGAGACTGGATATGACTCTGGAATTTCCTAATAGAAATTCCTCCTCTGCAACTCCCCACCCCATTCAGGATCTCTGGTTATCATCCCCTCCCAGCCCTATGAATCCTTCTGCCTCTGTTGGCAGAAATAGCCAGGAAGCATGCCCACAGGAACCACAACTCATGAATCAGCAGACAGATAATTAACTGGGGAATGACTGAGCAGCTTCAGGGAGAAACCACTTGGCCTGACCCAGCCCCCTCTGATGCCCACAGAGCTGGCCTGCTACTTCACCCCATGGCCTCCCCTCCCTTCCCCCAAACCCTGGCCCTATCCTGAATGGGAAGATCATTGTGCCTGAAGGAACTCAGGTCGTGAGTGGCAATGCAGGTGGGAGAAGAAAAATGACACGGTCTATCCTCCCTGTGTAAACTGCTGCCATTTATTTAAATGTGAAACTCTTTAGCCAAAAAAAAAAAAAAAGTGTAAAAATCTCCCTTTTTTTTTTCCCCATGCACACAGTATCTCCAGGAATACTCTTTTTAAAGTTAGGTTTATTGAGGTGTAATTTACATGGAATAAAACCCATCCTTTTTAGGTGTACAGTTTTTTGAATTTTGACACACGTTTGGTTCAGTAACCATCAGCATAATCACGATACAAAATATTTCTGTCACCCCAAAAGGTTCCCCATTGAACTCCTTTGTTATCAGTACTCTATCCCCACCTTTAGTTCCTGGCAACCTCTGATCTGTTTCCTGTCCCTACGGATCCACCTTTTATGGAATGTCATATAAATGATGTCATAGGGCATGTAGTCTTTAAAGTCTGGCTTCTTTCACATAGCATGACACATTTGAGATTCACCCCTGTTGTTGTGTGTATCAGAAAGCAAAGGGTTTATCCAAGGCTACTTCATCTTTCACGGGTACTGAGACAGTTACCCTGAAAGCAGGGGGACTATATCAGTTAAACCCGGATGCAGCTTTCAGTTTCTAAATTTTCTAACTGGATAAATGCATTTGGGCCATGTATAAGCCATTTGATTTCCCAAGTGCTAAGTAGTAATATCTTCAGGATATTGGAGAGGATTTTGCAGCAACCTGCACTTTTATTATTGGTCTGGAAAGCAATGTGTAGTTTGTGGCCAAATATGGTATGTCACAATCCTTGGGGCCAGAAGCTGTTAAGTAAACCTGGGGCTAGTCTACCTTTAAAAAAATTTTGTAGCATCTCTGAAAATACAAGTTTTCCTTTCTGGTTTTCAGTCACATTGTCACAAAAAGACTAGTCTCCCTCTCCCCATCATTTCTTAGTTCGGTTGGTGAAGACATTCCAACACTCAAGGAGAGAATGAGGTGAACTTTTTTTTTTTTTAAAGGAAGTTGAATGCTGGAGAGTAAAATGGCTGGTTCCCCTTTAATTCTGTTCTCCCATCATGTTCACTATTAATCAGATGATGTGTTCTATTCAGATTTTCTTCCTTGTGTACATAATAATCCTTATGTGTGTCTGTATTCCCTTACCTAAACTTGTATTATTATTATTATTAT